TTAAGGTTTAAAGAGAATATTTCTTCCCACTCTTCTTTTCGGAATAATGATTGTGCTTTCTTATCGACATCGTTAAGAATAAAGGAATGTAAATGAGATTCATGCTTTAAAGTTCGTGCATGTTCATAAATGATCTTCTCAACAATACGGCCAGATGATTCAAGGGTCCACATTTTTGCTGGGTTTAGACTCTGGTAGGCAAGATCAAAATCGGTAAAGTCGTTGATTTCTTGCCCACCTTCAGCTTCATTATCATCTTCATTATGATCTTCGATTTCGTGATTATCAATGCTATTATTCGTGGATCGGGTGGATTTTTTTTTCGGCTGAATCAAAAAAAAGATTAGTAATTGTTTCAAAATAATTGAAATATACTGGTATTAGTTAGTTACCTTCTCATCCGGTTCTGCCTGGCTTTCATTCGCCGATTTTCTTTTTTGAGGCAATTTCCTAAGCAAAGCTCTGGCATTTACCGTTCCACCGATGTAACTTTCACTCCCAATGTTGCTGTTGATGGCCGTAATTGTTGAATTGTTTAAGTGAACACCGACTTTGGCTGGTTTATTGTGATTTTTCTCCCAATCTCGCGCCAATTTATAATCTGGCCCCGGCTGGCCATTCTAGAAAAAAAAAGAATCATTAATAATATCCTTAACATGTTTCTGAATTTCCCATCTGATCTTTGCATCCTACTAGGTCGACTCAAAGTCTTGAACGTCAGCCAATCTCAAAGATTTTCTGCGCCCCAGTAGGGCCAATGCCAGGTTGACTCAAAGTCTTGAACGTCAGCCAATCTCAAAGATTTTCTGCGCCCCAACATTAGCTTCGTAGCTCGTCTCAAAGACTTGAATAACACAAGGACTCAAGGTCATTCTGCCACGCCACCAAATTTTTTATTTATGTTTTTAACTCCCCAAAAATAAACTTGCCTTTTTATAATTATCAAGCAACTCTTGTGCTCGTTTGCTCCTTTTGTCTTGCTGAGTATTAGCGATGGTCTTGAGGGACGTAAGGTAAACTTCTATTTTCTGCTTAAATTCTTCTATACCACATTCTTCCAAAAAGTCCAAAATATTCCATTCCGAAGACTTGCTCTTGAAATATTCGTTCATTATTTTATTGTTCATTTCCTGTCACGTATTTATACAAGTTTGTTACGTGGCCCTGCTCTGTAGGTAAGATTTTGGCAGGGGCCCCGGCTGAAATTACAGTCATGTGATTTTTTTCTCTGTAGGCGCTAGAGTGACCAGGATTATGCTCCGGCAAATGCCAAATTATGCATCCGGTACAGGGATGAATCATCAAGGGGCTATACATGTGCGAGAAAGTTTGAGAATAAATTATTTTGCGCGTGATTACCTGTTCCTGTGATACATGTAACGACTATAATTTTACTGCATATTTATTTCTACAATAACCCACTCCACGCGCCATTGCTTTATTGATCATAAATACAAGCTGTAGCCTGCTACATAATGATGCTATTTATTCGGTGTATTCTCTTTTTATAAGATAGTCCGCTAATAATACCTTTGCAATTTCAAGATTCCTATGCTAAGTACGAAAGCTCAAATATTATGTTGCACAGGCTGTGACACATTCACATTGCTTATATCAGTATATTCCTTCTGCGACTTTTTTTACACCTTTTGCAATACAGATGTGAGTGATGATCGCATTCATCACAAACTTTACATCCATGCTTCTATCACCTAAATATATGTCATTTTTTAAAGTAGTTCTGCCTTAGCAAAGCACCTTCCAGCTCTTTATCCCTTACACCGTCAGGCTAATCCGCAGTAAATATAAAGTCCGACGTGGCTTAAAAGATAAAATTAAAACACAATAAATAAAACATAATAAATAATTATTACATATAAAAAAAGGCATTATTACCCAATAAATAGTTACGAAAATAATAATCATATATATCTAAGCCAACGTCGGAATTTAAACTCTCAATGTTGTACAAAAATTCGCAGGCAAATTTGCCTGCGAGACGGTGTAAGGGATAAGCTATGCTATCCTGATTTTTTGTTAAGAAATTCGGCATGATATATAAGTATTAATATCGATATAGTCAAAAAAATTCTTGTACGTATGACCAAAATTTCATTTAACTCGGGATTTGCACAGTCCATTATTTCGGCAGTGCATTTATCATGGCAATGAGTAACGACTGCGCATTTTTCCAGGCGATCGATTTCACATGATCTATTTCGTCCTATGCTACAAAGACAATATTCCAACTTATCTTGGGAATACAACTTCGCTAATTCAGGATCATAAGGGAATTGATTCCCATTCTCGCGGTACTATGAGCCATGTAATCCATAATTACATGCTTTCCATTGCAAGTAGGGCATGGACTTGCTCGAAGCCAGATATGGTTAATTAACATTTTTTTTATATATCTTTTTTTCAAGCTTGCGAGACAAAAGGGGTTTGTGATGAATGCAATCATCATTCATGCAAAACATGCAAAAAAGTAGCAGATGGAATATATAGGCAATGTGAATGTAAAAATTCTCGAATAATTAATGTTAAATAAAAATAAGCATTATCTGTACTACCTTAGAAGGCTTATCGTTATTTTTTAAAATTCACTTATCATCTCATGAAACATGTTAATAACACACTATTATGTTCTGACGTTTAATCCACTGTATATAATTTTTTATTTTTTATATCAATAAAGCTGGCTCTGGTGGCCAATTTCACATACATAATTGCGTTTACTTTTGCATGTATATTTTGTGAATTTATTTTATTGTATTATTATCGATATATATTAACTCGTATATGATCGAGAATTTTCATGGTAAACTTGAACGACCTGAGGTCTGCGAAATTTCTTGGCAATTTGATTTTTGTTTTAATTCGAAAATTTAAATAAATAATATCTTATATGAAACAATGGCAAATATACAATCCAAAATTAATTCGTTAGAAGAACAGAATTCCAAGCTTATTGTAGAGATTACTGAACTTAAAAAGAAGTATGCTGGGGTTGAGGCTGAGAATATCGAAGTTAAAGCTGAGAACGCGAAGCTAAGGTGGTTCATAAAAGAGAATACTGAGCTCAAAACCAGAATTGAGGAGTTAGAGAAAAATAGGATAGAGACTACCGCTGAAAATGCCAAACTTAAAGCTAGAGTTGCGAAATTAGAACAGAATTTTGAACATCGGCTAGAAAACGGTGATAATTCTTCTGAGAACATTGCTAATGTACCCAACCCCGTTATAGATCAGTGCATTGATACTAACTCCAAATCGTTAGAGGATAAAGAGATGAACAATTTCTTAGACGAGAAAAACAAGGAAAAGGTTAGTAATGAAATAAGACAACGTAATAAGGAAAGGAAACTTCTACGTGAATCAGATAAAAACCAATCTCAGGACTTATCTCCAGTTAACCACAATATTTCGCCGGATATATTATGCAATACTGAAATAATTAACGACCAGGATTCACGTAAACAGAAGAAAGGAAAAGATTTAATACAGGAAATATTACTCGAAAAAAATCATATAAATGAAAATTTATCTTCAGATCAAAAAAGCACACGTATCACAAATGCAGAAGCATTCTCACTTCGTGAAACTTCAGATAACTGCAAAAGCAGGCCTTATAGGGCTAAAAACATCATTAACTTATATCAAAATGCATGCAATGCTGAAGAAAGCGCAATGAAAGCCAATCAGGAAGAAATATTATGTTGGTGTTTGTATGCTAAAGAATTCAAATATTTGGTTAGAGATTTTATGACCAAATATAACATTGGTGAGAAAAAAGCAAAAGGCCTGGTCTACGACTTTATTATAGAACAACTTCCCAATACTAAGCGGGAAAATTTATGTAAGCAAACTCAGAGAGCTATAAAAATCTTTAATTTATTTGAAAAAATAGGAACGGATAAGGTTCAATATATTAAAACTTATAGCGCGAATTCTATCTCAAAATTTACTAACGAAGAACTTCAAAAGGTTATTGACTATTTCTCTAGCAATTATGACAATTGTTCCACAGAAATTTCGACGACCTCGGGTCTTTCAAATCATGTGACTGAAATTCCTGAATCTAGTTCGGAAAGTATACCTATTGAATCTCAAGTTTCCGATTCATCAAGCTCTAAACCATCTCAAGAAAATGATCAAGATGAGTCAAAGACTCGAAGCTCTGCTTCCTTGGAATTACCAGAAGCTAAGGTAAATGCATCTACTGAAGAAACAAAGTCTCGAGTCTCTGACTCATCTATTTCTGCTAATTCATCTGAGGTAAGTATGCCACCTATATCCCAGGTAAATGTATCTAACAAATCCCGACCTTCAATTTCTGTTTTACCTGGTGATCCCGAAAAAAAACAAGCTCATGTTATCAAAATGGTATTGGAGCGATTCTCTTATTTAACTTTGAAACATAATTTTAAATATAGTAATTATTTTGATTTTAATAGATCTGTACTTTGTCCTATATGCAATAAAGACCATAAAAAAGAAAATATAAGAAATAATATAGAGGGTTTAGGGGAGTGGCGATTATGTCAATACAAAAACTTATCATCTCTATTGTTATATAAATAAATATCAGAATTCAATCCCAATAGTAACAGTTAAAGCATAGGTTAATAAGTAGAACCCATTCACACGATCAGTTAAAAAAAATGGCGAGCCCACGGGACCCCCCTCTTTATTATTGCGAAGCAATGACCCTTCGGGTCTAATAAAACATTGTTGCCGAACAACAATATATAACTAAAAAATATTTTTATTATATAACATATCACTATTGTATAATTTTATTAATCGTCACAACCAAAAGGTCCTTCATTGGATAATCCTTTAATTGAATCAGAATACGATAAACACCATTGCACATTATTGTAAAAGGGATTTCTTATCTCCTCAAGATCTTGTTCGTAATAGTCATCATATTCATCATAATTTGAATAACCTGGTTCAATTAATAGATTTAATGATTTTTTAAACTTTAGGTGTATGAAAAAGGCAGACAGAATTTTACTTACCACGACTTTCGTTGGTCTCGGAGGCGTTACTATCATTGGTCTTAGGGGCATCACTTTTGTTGATCTTGGAGGTATTATTATCGTTGGTCTTGGAGGTGATATTACTGTTGGTCTTGGAGGCGTTACTATTATTAGTCTTGGGGGCGTTATTACTGTTGGTCTTGGAGGCGTTACTATTATTAGTCTTGGGGGCGTTACTAATGTTGGTCTTGGGGGTGGTTTTTTTATTACTGCTCATTTTTCGTTCCTAAATATAAAAAATTATAGTAAGTAAAAATTCGTTTTCACAGTTTGCGTTAAATGAAATAGCACATTAAAAATAAATTACGGGCAAATGGATCAAGTAAAAATAAATATGAGCAGAAAAAAAAACGTTACTGGTAACCCACCTTACAAGATAAAAACTCGCCAATTTTATATTGCCTCATTTCGTATTACATAA